AGTGGCCCAGACTCACAGAGCTGGAAACTGAAACAAAAAATCCTCACATTGAATTGACCCACATTTATTTCATTACTAATCTGAAAATAACTAGCCAATGATATTTTTTGAAATTTGGAGTTTAATTTTTTTTTTTAATAGGAATATGTGGTATCTGATTTTGTTTGTGTAATCAAAAATGGATCAGTTTCTGCTGAACTATTGAACTGAGAAAAGTAGCGTTTAAAAGAGAAGAAAGGTCATGCTGATGTTATCAGGTCAGTGGTGGAAAAGATTGTGTCATAGGGAGCTTCTTACTGGCAGCAGTCCTGTCTGGTTGTGCTGAAATGTCAGATAAGTTGTTGTTTGTTTGGGATCTGAGGACAGAAGTGAAGATGTTTTGAGGTTTTATTTAAAAAATAAGTATTCTTTGTTGCTAGAGGGCTGTGTGAAAGTACAAGAATACATAGTGTTCCCAGCCTTCATGGTAGTTGGTCTGGTTTTATTCTTCCTGCCCCAATGCCAGGATTTAGTCTATTATGAAAATCTTGTCTGTCATTTTACAAAGCAGAAAACCCCCAGAATGGAAAGAAATGCTTCTGCCAGTTACAGAGAAGCAAAATGAAAGTGTGATGGTGCCTGAGTACTGCAAAGGTTGAAGAAAAATCCCCAACAGAAGGTGAATTTAAAAACCCAACCAAAATGAAGTAGATTTATTGGTATCTAAACTCCAGTGGTTTCTGGAGCACTGACTCATGATGTCTGAATGTCTGGGCTTGCCAGAAGCCTGCACTGAAATGTGACCCTGCTGGCTTGGGCCATATATGGGAAATTTCCCTGTGTGACAAAGGTGGGAATCCAGGAGGTGCAGGTCCCTGGCTGAAGCTTTCCTTACCTGCTGTCCTCTCAGTCTTCTGTGAAAATGCATTCTCTGGGTTGGATCCCACTGGGGTTCCACGTTCAGCACTTTGTTTGATCCCATGAATTGGATGGGTTTAGGTGAGCTCTGCCATCAAAGGATGCCCATCCTGCCTCCGTTGGTGCTGCACACAGGTGATTAAAAGGCTTGACAAAGAACTTAAATGTTCTGCCATAATTGATGTATAGAGATGTGGCAATAAGGAAAAATTACCTTTTTTTGGATCATGGCTTTAGTTCCCAGAGACCAATGTTTACTTGAATGGTTTGTGAGTCCCTGTGTGAGCTCTTGCAGAATCTCCTCAAGATGTGCCCCCTCAAGTCAGCAAACCATGGGACCAGATGGCTGTTGTGTTTGTTCATGTTTGTGTTTGTATAAAGGCCAGATTTCGGGCTGCTTTGTTTTGGATTTCTGAGTCCTTAATGTTCTGCAGAAACTGAGGCTGGAGGGAGAGAGGCGCAGCAGTCAAACAAGGATGGTGGTGAAGGAACCCATGTAGAACCTTCCAGTTCTAGAAACAAACACTGCAGGTGGTTGGAAATGGACTTTTCCACAACACCTGTCCCATGAATGCTGTAGAGAGTTCATGCTTGTCCTGCTGGCACACATTGGGTGCTAAGGCTTGAACTTTCCCTCAGTTTCCAAGCTCTTCTCCAGGGCTGCATGTAAGCAATTCTGAATTTCTGGATTCTGAATTTCAAATGCTTCCGTGCTAAATGGAGATTGGCACAATAATAGTATTTATGGAAATGCTTTAAGAGAACAACTTCAAAGTCCCTCTCAAAGTTCCACCTGTATTAACTTCCTTCAGATGAGAGTGGGGTATTTTCCCTTGTCCACAGATAAGGTGACTAAACCATAAACAAACTCACTTTTTTATCGTGCTATCTTTTGTTATCTCAGGAACAAAACCAGTCATCAGGTTTGTATTCAACATCCTGGACCTTTTTTTAACTGCTGACTAATTTCTAAGTATTTCTGCAGCCTGGGAGGGCAGAACTTCCCACATTGTGTCAGATGTGACGTGTGAGCTGGTCTTCGTACGTGTGTGCTGAAGGAGAAGATCTGCAGCTGCATTTTCTTCTATTTCAGCACCTAGTTTGGATTTGAATTCAGATTAATTTGGAATAGGCATAGCTATGAAATGAGTCTGCAGTGTTTGTACTTGTTATGATGTGCCTCAGTTATATACATCCAGATCTGTTTCAGTCTAGCCAAATAAAAATTATCTTTTTTCAGGCTGCAGTTAAATAGGTTAGAGGTTGCCTGCCAGTCTGCACAGAGCTGTGGTGCATCCAGTCCTACTGCACGTACACTTTTCCACTTGTATAAATTCCATGGAATTTACGTTCATTTTCTACCAGCAGCTCCTGGAATAAGGTTGGGAGAAGAGTAGGTTTAGCATGTGAGGAATTTTGAGACTATATTTTGATTTTAGAGGGGTGAAATTTAGAAGTTTACTGGTTAAAAATAAACCCATAGCTTGGCATGACAAATAATTTCCAGGATTTCCAACTGGTGTTGTAATTTATCAGCAAACACTCTCAATTCTGGATGCCTGAGACACAGTGATAACCCTGAGTCTGTGGAGCTTTAGGGCCAATTGTAATCCCAATTTCAGGGAAACTTAGTGTAATTCTGGTTAGTCTTGTCCATTTCCAAATTTGATGAGCTGTATCTGGGATAATGCACCTCTCTCTTCTCCTTTCAACTGCCCCCATATGCTTGTGCTTCATTCCAAAGCTAAACTGTTGGTGAATATGTAATTTATGCAGTTGTCATAATGAAACAAGATGTGTAATTGTGCAAGGGATTCCAATGAAAATAGCTTGATCTCTTTTTACCTGAAGTAGGAAACTTGAGATATGATGAAAATAAAAGTTGATATCCTTTCTCCTCCCCTTTTTTCTCCATTTAGGAGAAGGGTATCATTACACCATCTGACAGTGGTTACCTTCTCCCGTGGTGAAATCACCTTCCAGCAGAGGGAATTCCAGGCTGTTCCCTGGTTAAACTGTGGATCTGCTCCTGTTTGTTTGCAATACCCAAACACTGAAGTCACTGGGTCCACAGCAGTGTTTTGCAGCACAGCAGAAACTTATTTTCAGCAAGGTTCTATTCTGGGCATTGTAAAATGTGCTGAGAGAGGGAGGTATTTGTAGTGTGGAGAGGAGGAGGACTCCCTGAAAAGCTCCTGCTATGCCTTTGGAGCCTCTTTCTGACTTCCAGGTGGGCACAGATCCAGGAAACCTCCCCCAGCTGTTGCCACGTGGCTGTCATGGAAGAGTGGTTGAGGTGGGTTTTGAGATGAAATCTGGATGGGATGGACTCTTCCTGGGGTAGGGCTGGTTAGGGAAGCTGCACAGTAATTTAAGTGTTCAGGTTTTCATTGAGAATTATTTATTGCTGTCTATTGGAATTACAGTTTTAGCCGTGACCTATGCAGCTGAATCCAAGAAAACCTGTGAGGAAAGGTGAAAACCTGTGAGAGAAAAAAACAGCATGGAGCTTCTTCTCCATCATGAAAAGGACTGGTTGAGTTGGGAGGAGATAGTCCAGGATTCCTGGACTGCTCCTTGCTGACATTTTGATGGAGACATTCCACTTTCAGTGACACTTTTGGGTGTGAGACTAAGGACAGAGACACATGCAGCCATGCAGGATTCTGGGAATGGTAACAAAACAGTACTCTGGAATCTTGCTTCTCCAGAGTGTCCTTTCTTCTCCTCCTGACTTGGTTCATGCTATAATTACAACTGACTTAATTCAGCCTTGCTGATGAAAATCAAAGCAGTGTGAAAGAGCACAGCAGCTTTTTGAATTGTTTTTCCGCGTAACAGGAGAGCGGAAGGGAGATAAGCTCGAGGTCACAGTGTGTCCCTTGGGAACAGGTATGGGACTAAGGAGTTGAGACAGACTGGGTAAGAAAAATAATTTTCTAAAATCACATGATTTCATTAATCACTTTGTTTTGGTTTCTGCTAACTTGCTGGGAGAATGTCACTGGGACATTCTGCTAACTTGCTGGGAGAATTTGGTTGAGACAGACTGGGTAAGAAAAATAATTTTCTAAAATCACATGATTTCATTAATCACTTTGTTTTGGTTTCTGTTAACTTGCTGGGAGAATGTCACTGATTTGCAAAAGAAAAAGACAGTTGACTTTCCATCTTGGCAGATGTCTTGAGTCCTAATTACAGTTAATAGCAAAAAGAACTTTTTATCTAAATATTTTTCAATATATAAAATGCAACTTTGGGTCAAAGTAAACAGTTTATAGTAAAATAATACTCATCCCAGGTATCCAATTCCTTACAAAACAGGATTTCCAAGCTTCTCATGTTGAAGTGGGGGGAATTTGGTGTTACTTGTGCTACAGAGGAGAGGGAAAATGGGTGAGAGTTGAGTTTGCAATTCCAGGTGCAAAGCTAGGAGTCAAGTGAGAAAGTGTCTGTTTTGTCTTTCTCCATAAATCCCACAGCTTTCTAAAACTGTTTTCTCCATTTCAAATGGGAATTGCAGCTGTCTAGTTTCAAAGAGGTGCTTGAAGGTGAGATCCTTTGTGCTTGTAACAGTGCTGGTGGGATTTCAGGTGGAGATCTGTCTGTAAACCTCCTGAACATCATCAGGTGTTGCTGGCAGTACTGATAATACTGGTACAGCTGCAAAATGCTCTTGGAATACTTGCTGGATTTTTGTCATGTATATAAGAACTTGTAATTTTCCTCTCAGCTAAGCCAATTTTCCATGGGCTTACCTGGCAAATGGTCTGCTCAATGTAAACCAGGTTATAGCAGCATAAAAGGGGCTTTGTCTGCACAAATGATGGTTTCCACTGTACCACGCAAGTGGGAATTGATTTTTGGTGCTTCTCTGGGCTCAGCAGCAGTTGAAGGCGCTGGCGTTTCAGCAGAGCCGTGTGTGGCTGTGCTGAACGCCTGTGGCCCCATTCCAGCTTTTTCCTGCTCTGCCTTGCACCCTGCCCCAGCGGGCTGCCCTGTTTACTCTCTGCTCTGTGCTAAATGGATGTCACTTCCTTCATTAAAATGCTGGTGCGTGGCCAGGTTCCCTTCCTTTGGGCTCGCACGCTCGCAGCAGCGGCGCTGCCGAATCCAGCTGTGTGCCACGCTCCGGGATCTGCTCCTGCCTGCGTTGTTGGGATCTGCTGAGGCTGCCGAGCCCACACACAGAGGAGGCTTTTGGAGGCATCTCCAGGGTGGAGAAGCACAGGTGCAGCTGTGTTGAAGAGGGGCTGAAGATGGAGTATTGCTGGTGGGTGCAGTCCCTTCCAGCCAGGGACTGTGCGTGTCCCGTGGGGAAGGTGTAGGCAGCGTTTGGAATGGGGTGCCAGTGCCAGCCTGCTCTGGCCAGCCTCTGGACATGAGGATGTGGGTGCTGTTCAAGGGCATCCCCTGATGTGCCCGGCAGTACAGGCACTCCTGGATGCACAGGATCACAACCAAAGGGACACAGAAGCCTTGGACACCCTGTTCTGTGTGGACTGACCTGAGCTCTCTGCCTTTGTAGCTGACCAGGGCCTCACCTGAAGAGTTTTAAACTGACATCAAAGTTGCTGATCAGACTGGTGAGCAATTAAATATTTGTCTTTGTTGCATGATGTTAGATGATTAGAGATGGGAAATGTCTCCAGGCTTTTGGAGGGCACAGAACAAAATGAAAAAGTGTTTCTTTCCTCCTTCTATAACACAATTTCTTGTGCCTACCCCACCTGAACACTTCTGTTTCTAGCTGTGATCCAGTGCTGGTATTTATTTACTCATTTTTTTCAAGGTGTGCATACTGTCACCTTGGGCAGGTGAAGTAGTAGCTTTACTCATAAACATATTTTTTCCTATCCCTACATAAAAATCTGACAGTTTCAGTCCAGTTATTTTATCAAGTAAATTAGATGTACATTCCTTATGACAGGTTTGTGTCCCATCTCTTCCTTTTCTCCTGCTCTGTACTGGTTGAGACACCATGTCTGCAAATGTCATGCTCAGACTGGCAACCTGCTTCCTTTCCTTGTCCCTTCTGCAAGTGGCTCATTAGCTGACTTTTCCAGCTGTCCCAACATATGGCTGCTCCCATTTATCATAATTCAGGTCTGTGCCTGGAACAAAGGCTGATAAAAATAATACTTTGTGCATAAGTGGCATTTGAGCAGATTATTCTATAACTCTGTTATCAAGCAAATACTGTTTTTTTGACCTTACTATGAATTCAGTTTGGAAGTGGTAGGTCATTAGTGAAACTAATTTTAGCAAGGCATTTCTTATCAGTGCAGGTTTGTTGAAATAAATTAAAAAAAGTAGTAAATTGTAACAATGAGCAATTGTGCAACACTATTAATGGGACACCATGGTGATTAAATGCTTCAACCATTTCAAACAGCATTCGTCAAAGTGAGATCTGATCGATTTTGCAGGGGCTACAGCATGGATTAATAACAAAAATAGTAATTTTAAAAAAGACCTATCAATACATGAGTATTTTAAAGCCACACTGCCTTTTTCTGGCCTCCTGAACAATTTCCTTGGTCTTCAAGCTACTAGAAGTGGCAGGAACTAATGATTTTGTGCTCAGCATTATGCCAGGGTTGGTGTGTTGTGTTGAGAGCTGTCTTACTGGTGTTGTGCAGGACACACAGTCTGTGTTGGTGTAGAACATCTGTAGCTGCTCACTGCAGGTCCTGAAGGCTGGAGGAAGGTTCTGAATGGGAAGGAAGGAGGGTGTTTCTCAGTGGATGGGGGGCAGAGAGGAGCTGGCTGGTTCAGGGAGCTGATGGAGAAGCAGCTCACTGTGCTGAGCACAGGAGGTGTGAGGCAGCTCTTGGGGCTGATGGGCAAACAGCACTGCAGGGACGCTGGCCCTGGCAGAGCTGCTCTCTTGCATCTCCCTCCCTTTTTGGCACCCAGCTCCATCTGCAGTAGCCTCGAGGGTCATCAGCCCTGCTGCTCCAGTGGTTGAAGGCCTCTCAGGAGCAGAACTACTTGCTGCTGTGGTTTCTTCTCGTGTGGGAGTAGAATCAGCTGCTTCTGGGAGCTCATTTCCTTTTGATCCCTTGATTCAAGTGTCTCCTTGGTGCTGCTGCATTCCAGCTGCTGAATTCCTGAGCAGTCATGAAAAGGAGCCAGACCCAGTCCTCGAGAGCTTTATTATACAGAGCTGGAAGCTCATTGATTCTGAGATGTTCCTTTGCTTGCTCTAGTCCCTTGTTGTTTGTACCCTTAGGAAAATTAAGGCAGATTTTATATTCAAACACAAACCACAGTTTCCCTCTGCAGCCACAGCCTAGCCTTTGATGAAATCCAAACAGCATGTGTAATAAATCCTGTGTGGAGGCTGTGATCCCTGGTACTCCAGCTAGCAAGGTTATGGCAGTGATATTGCATATGGAGAACCTGAGCTCAAACCCTTTTCTAAATGAAGATAGAAAATAAAAGAATCCAGGCTTGTATTATGAATCCTTCTTCAACTATGTATGGGAGGAAAACTTTGACATCACTGGTATTTCATTCAGAATTAAATCAATACAGAACTTTTGGCGTTGTATAGAACGTGTTAATGAACTGGTGATGAAATAAATTTAAGTCTCCTGTTTAAATCCAGTCAAGAGATTCATGGCATGGACAGCTTCATACTGGAAAAATAAATAATCAATAAAAGCAGTCCAGCAGAGCATGGTGGAGTGCTGGCACCACTTTGTCCATGGCAAGCATCCTCCCTGCCATTTATTGGATTTCTTCTGGTTTTCCTTAAAGCAGCTGAGGAAAGAAGATGAAACAGCCCCTTCCCAGGGTGCTGATTGCCATGTGGGTGGATGTGTTTGCAGGTCCAGGATAGACTGTTTGATCTTGTGTCTCCACCCTTGATGAAACTCCCTCTCCCTTTGCCCTGGCAGATGCTCCAAGCACAACATGCACTTAGGATTTAGGGCAGGTGTTTTTTGGCTGCCAGCAGACACTGCTGGGTGCCTGCCATGGAGCTTCCAGTTTGCCAAACCCAGCTCAGCTGGGTTTGTGTGTGGCTCACGCAGTTGTTTCTGTGGCTCCATGAGGCTGTAGAGACACCTTGTCCAAGGATAATGCTGCTATCAGTAGTGCCTGTAGTGTCAGCTATGCCAGTAAGTCCACATCTTTTATTCAAGATGTTCCTGAAATCCATGCTGTCATTAAGTTTTCCAAGCTGTTATTTTTCACACTGTTATTAGCCAAGTTACTGTAAGTATTTTCCCAACCCTGGAGCACAACACAGAAGTAGCTCTTTCCACTGGGAGTTCTTTTGTCTGGGCATTAATTTGTCACTTCGGTGTAGCTGTGGAGCTCCTTGGGTGCAGAACAGCAGCTCCTTTGCGGGGAATTGACAGGATCTGTATAGGGCAGGACTCTCTGGTTCTGACCTTCAGACTGCCACATCTGTAACATCCATCCATCCATCCATCCAGGAAATGAGCAGTTCCTGGACTGTGCTGACCACGTACCTCCAGATGGGTAAGAGAATAAATAAGGGAATAATTTTGCTGTAGCAAACATTGTAGAGCTATCAAGGAAATTGTCATCCTGAAATTCCACTGAGGCATTCTGCTTGTAACTTAGTGTCCTCTATCAGTGGCAGTGTTCATTTCCTTGGCTCTAAAGCTGATCCTGTCCAGAACAATGGAAAATCCCTCTTGAAGCAGCTGCTGAATATTACCTGTATTTCTTGCTGCTGTCTTAGTGCAGCTGTAGGCAGCTACAAAGGTGTTTTACATGTGTGCTCCTTTTTATACCTTTGGAAAAATGTTATGGATCAGAGGACAGTCCTGGTTGTTGTTTGTTTATGGGCATTTTCCCTTCTATGCTTTTGTAGCTGAGCAGGATTAAGGCTCTTCTAAAGCAACATCTGAGCTTTTTGTTGGCCTTTTAATTCCTGGCAATCACAGAGCTACAACCCCAGCTGAATGCTGAGCTCTGTCTTATTTTATCCCAGTTTGTGCACTGCCTTGTGTTTTTCTTCCCAATGTTTGACATGTTGCAACGTTCCAGAGTGAATTAGTAGGCTGTCTTTTTCTAGGAAAACAAAGTTTTTGGGGGCAGGCAGTAGCATTTGTGTATTCTGTTATCGTGGGTGGCCTTCAGCTTGCAGGGGTCCTTGAAACAGGAAGGGAGCTGAACTCTGGATGCAGTTTTCCACTGCTGTGGAGGCTGTGAATGCTTCTTGCACTGTGCAGCTTTGTGTTGTTTAGATTTGTGATTCCTAGGAACAAATTAAATCTCCCAAAGAACGTGATTTCAAGTAGAAATTCTGTATTTTTGCAAAAGAAAATCTCTGTTAACTTCTGAGTGGAACAGAGAGCTTGGAAATTAACATGCAGAGAGGAAAAGGGTAATTTTTTCTTTTATCTGTGCCATCTGAAGTGCGTGTTTGATTGCAGGGCAAAGCTAATAGAGATGGATGATAGATTATTTCTGTTCATGCAGTGCTTTCCTCCTTGTATTTATTGGGATCTCATTGCCAGCCTAAGTGCAGTCCACACTGTTTATTGAGATCTGGTGTCATTCCCACTGCAGCAACGAGCACATCAGCTCCAGCACGAATCCATGGAGTGAATGTGTAGATTTGTATTTAAACTCTGCAATGTGCTGAGCCTGCAGGGAGGGCTCCTGGCTGAGCTCACACTGTGGCCTTTGAAAGGCGTCTGTCCAGGACAGCAGGGACTCTGAGCAGCCAAATTCAGCCAGGGTCTGAAAGGATCAAAGATGCCACTGAAGCAACAGATACTGGAGCAGCACCAGAGTGCAAAAACTTCCCAGTTCAAGTACATCAGCCCCAAAGTTTCAGCACAGCTGAAAAAAAAGAACATAATATACTCAATAACCTTTAGGATTCCCTTCCCAGCCCTGTTCCCTTGGGAATCTGGAGTTTCACAGTGGCAATACTTACTGAGTAACAAGCAATGAATTGGCTGTACAGCTGAGAGATGTTTTATTTCCAGAAGTTTATAAAATCAAGCAGTTGCTGAACACTATCAGTGAGGGAGCTGATTTTTAAGACATAAAAGAAACAGTTCAGGAACTCCCATGTGAGAGCAGAAATGCAGAGGAGGCAATTTGTATTCAGTTTACCCGTAAGTGATGACACATGGTGTGTGCTCCAGAAACTGAATGCCCAGATGAATTCAGATTTCTTTGTAAACTCCCAAAAGCAAGTTTATAGCAGTGTATTTCTGGAATATTGCAGCAGAGGTGGTCTGAGAAGACTTTGGAACTGAGCATTTTGCACTGGACTGTGTTAGGATTTTTGGTAAGTGTGTGTGTGTATGTGTGTATACATATAAAATTTGACTTGAAAAAATAAACAAGTGATTTTGTGTCTCAGCTGCAGTTGTTTTCCTAAGCAAGTTACCAAAGCCTATATTTGATTTACTTACATTACTGACATTGACCTGCTGTGTGATGATTCAGCCTTGTAATGCTGTAAATTCAGCCGAGAACTGCAATGTGTGAAGTCAGCGGCTCAGCTGTCCTTGCTTTTATTTTATCTTTTTGGATTTGTAGCTGTAAATCTGTAGAGGGATTTAGGATAAAGCTGAGGAATGGCCATCTGTGATCCTGCTGCTGATTTTATTTAACTGTTCTGTTCCGTATAATTTGAGCTTTTGTGTTCTTTTCCTGATGCCTTATTACATCCTGATAAGTATTGCAGCTTATGTGAAATAGAAACAGCCTGTTACAGCAAACTCAGAATCTGATACGGCCAAGTGGAACATAAACTTTATCTTATCTTCATTGTAGTCTCTTAACTCTGAAGTATCAGTAATAAAGTTCTCTTGATCTTTGTTTGTCCCTTCTCACCAAAGCTGCATCATGCTGGACTGGGCGTGTGGGGTTTGTGTCAGAGGAAGGATCAAAACTGACAAACGTGCTGTTAAAAATGAACCACGGGTGGGCACTGACCTGCATGTCCTGCTTTGTGTCCCCTCAGCTGGCAGGCGCTGTCCCTGCCCCTCTGACAGGTGTTTTCCCTGGCAGGTACTATGTGGGCGAGCTGCTGTAACTGGTTCTGTGTGGATGGCTCCCCTGAGGAGATGCAGCCGCCGCCGGCAGCCCGAGCCCAGGCCTATTCCAACCCCGGCTACAGCTCCTTCCCCTCTCCCACTGCTTCTGAGCACAGCTGCAAAGCCTGTGGCCTGCACTTCGACAGCTCCTCCAGCAAGGTGAGTCCTGAGCCTGCCCTGCCAGGGCCAGCTGCCTTCATTTAGTTACAGACACACATTTTAAACACATATCCTCAGATCTGCGCGTCCCATATGGGAGAAGACAGCTCACCTTGGCTCTGCATCTTCAGTCATTCTGGCACAATTAATGTGACTGGAAATCCTTCAGCAGACTTCCTCAATGAGAAGGCCAAACTGCTGATAATCACTTAAAAAAGCATTAACTTGAGCATAAGGTATTAAATTTCTTATTTAAAAGCACTAATGTCCTTTAAAAATAAATATTGTGGCAAGAAGTTTAATAATGTTTGTGTTTTCAGTAAAGGGAGATATTCCTGCCTGTTTTCCAAACAATTGTTGCTCAAAGCAAAAGCCAATGAAGTTTTTTGAGGGTGTGTATAGAACTGCTGAGCAAAAATAGCCCCAGATCAATTTTATCTTACTTGTAAACTTGATTTGTGGGTGTATAAATGCCAAAATAATTGGTACCACAAGACTTAATTCGACAGCAACCCTGCCTGGGGCATTATTTGGACTTGGTGGGTCCTTTAATGCTGCTTGAAAATGTTCCAGTGAGGAAAATTGTTCTGTGTCCACACTCTGTGGCTTAAGAAGTGTCTGATCTATAGTTACTGGACTTAAGTATGTGAGAATTTAAAAATAATGGTGAATTCTGGCCACAGCCCTTTTAGATTATATGGGAAAGTTCATAAATTGGTTTTCCTTGCACTTTTTATTTATGCATGAGGAAACACATCTGAGGAATGGTGAGTCTTGGCAGAGCTGCTGCTTTCTACTCCCAGGGCAGCAGGGATGTTGGTGCATTTTTGCACTGAGAAGTGCAGTTGCTTCAGGAATCAAAGTCTGGTGATGTACTGTGGGGTGTGTGAGTGTGCTGAGGCTCCTCCTGGTGCTGGGCCAGCTGCAGTGGGGCCCTCCCTGCTCGTGACTCTGTAATGCTGTCTTTGACATTCTCCTCATTCAGCCACCTCCTCACAAATACTTGTGGAGAGAGTTACCCTGGACCCAGCACTTGCTGTTGGGCATGATTGGGAATAGTGGATGGAGAGAATTCTGAAATGGAACCATTTCAGGCAGCTGTGAGCTCAACAGCAGAGGCACAGCCCTGTTTTCCCCAGTATCTCCTAAATACATGTTCTGTATGAGCTGCCCTTAGAGCAGAGTCTTGGACAGAGCCATCAGTGGCTCCAGCTGAGCTGACTCACACAGGAGAGGGAATGCTCAGGTGCACAAATTGTAGAGGAGCTGCTAAGGCTGTTGAAAACATTCCTGCCCTCAGCAGCTTCTCCCTTTTCCTGTGGGATCTGCTGTCTGTACCTGTGCTCGTGTCCAGCTGCTCCTGCTCCAGGCTGTCAGGGAAATTGAAGTTTATAGTCTGTATTCCAAAGGAGGTCCCCAACCTCCTCCCCCCTTCCTGCTGCGCAGCTCCTGAGCTGTGATCTCTGGGGGTGAGTGGAGCCCCGTGCTGCAGGTGGGAATGCTGGAACAGGAGGGGCTGCCAGAGCTCACCCATCATGTCTGAGGGAGTGAAAACATCCCTTAGAACACACTGCTGTGTTTGTGAGCCATGGGAATTCCTCAGTGCTGTTGCTATGGAGGGAGCAGTGTATGAAATCTCACAGTGCTGCAAGGACAGCATGGAAAACTGCATTCTCTCCTGGGAGAGGCAGCACCTTGGAACTCCAGTGTCCAGTTAATGTTTATTCTAAAATACAGGGGATAAAAATTAATTCCTTCTGCACTGGTGACCATAAGGATAGCCTAGATTGCTTTAAAAAAGCCCAAACCCAACAAACCAACAAAACCCCCCCACATAAAGCATTTCAGGGCTGCGTGACCATGCTGACTGTGCTGTCAGTGAGCAGCAGACAGATGTGGCCTGACCTTTTAGGAAAGTTTTAATGTGGAACAACATTTGAAACTAATCTTTCTGAAGAACATGGTGCCTTGAATTAATGTCCTTTCAGTCAGAGTTCAGTGAAGCTGTAAGAGCTGCTTGATGCTGAGATGTAGCCAAAATGTCCATGTTTAAACACTTGCTGCTCAGATACAGGCTGGGGAGGTTGTTTTTTTCTCTGAAGATAAATCCTAGTGCTGAGCTGCTAAGTCAGAGACATGCCTGGCTTTATTTCACTTCCCAAATGTGTCCTTTGATAACTGAGGCAGGATTGCTGTTAATTGCAAGAACATGTTTGATAGAACAGCCCTTGTGCTGTTTGCTTTGTGATACCTCAAGGTGGGAGTGCTCAAGTAGGGGTTTTCTGGCTGGTGGAAGGTCCTTGGCAATACAGGGGGTCCCTTTGGAGCCAGTTTGGGAGCCTGCAGGCCATGGGGAGGCTTCCCCTGCCAGAGAAGAATGGGGCTGCTTTGGGGTTTTGGGTTGTTTTGTGCAGTTTTTGTGTTGTTGGGGTGTTTAAATCTCAGTTCATCTGATTGCTCCCATGTCAGAGATGAGGGATTCAGAGGGCAAGTGTTAATTACCAACAGGGTTATTTTCCACTTCTGTACCTTTGTGGATTTGTTTTGTTCCCCTGCTCTAGGCACACACAGCCATCAGTTCCTGTCTCTACCCTGAAAATTCGCCAAGGAACAGGATTGCTCTTGCAATCATAGGGTCACAAAAAGTCAATTACATATTAATTTTTTTATGGTGATGAAGTTAAGGAAAACTCCTCCAAACTGGATGTTCTGTGGAAATTGCCCTTCCTGCCTTGCTTTGTGATTGGTGAAAGTTGCTTTTCCTTGGCAGGCCCCCAGACAGCAGCTTTGAGATAAGGTTTCAAGAGTTTCTCTCTGTGGTGGAAATGTTAATGTCTTAAAATGCTTGCGCAGGAAATTGGGATTCTTTCCAGTGAGTGTCACTGTGAGTGTAGTGCAGGCTCTAAATGAGAGGCCTGGAGGTGTTAACTGGGGAGCAGGGAGGGTTTCAGGCTGAAAAGGGCATCAGAAAGAGCTTTTGTAAGAAAGTAGTGTATTTACACCCTGTAAAACATCTGCTTTCTTTCAGCTGGGAAGACAGAGATGTTCTTCAATCACTAGAGCAGTTCATAAACCACTTTTTTGTCTTTGAGTTTGTATTTATTACTTCTCCAACTCACCTGTGTGTTTTTCCTTGCACAGCTATGAAGGATCAGGATATCAGAATTTCACAGAGGTGCTTGGCTCCTCTCAGACGGTGAATTGGCATTTTAACAGCACTTAGAAACCACTTCTTTCTTCCCTCAGGACTTTTTAACAGGCACATAATGTGCTATTCCTATTGGAAAATGTAGAATTTGCCTTTCCAAAGGGTCGAGCAGTCAAGTTTCTGCAGAAGTCAGCATGGACTGTGAGTGCTTGGAACTTCTGAAAATCAAGCCCTGAGTGACAAGATCAGAACCAGTATCAGACAGAAACATTTAACAACAGAATTCAATCTGTAAAGTTTTTAACTGTCTGGGGCATAATATTTCCAAAACTTCCAACACTTTCTGTCTAGCACTAACTGGTATAAAGTGTGTGTATTGTTTTCAAAATAATATTTTTGTGTAAATAAATGTCATATTCTTTGATGTCTGTGAGACCTTGCTGTTCCCTGTCCTTCTTATGGTGAAAGATTCCTTCTGTGATTGCAGCAAATTGGAGGGAAGAACATCATTCATAGCGGGTGCTTATGAAAGAGAAATGTTTTTAAGTAGTTCCTTCAATGCTGGAGCTTCTTAATGCACAGAGCAATGTGCACAACTAGCTGGAATTCACAATGTGCACAACTAGCTGGAATTCACTCACAAGTCTGCTGCCTCAATCTGCTGATTTTCCCTCTGGCTTAAACTGCATGAGCAGGTGCAGAAAATTCCTGTCGTGTGAGGGCATCTTGTCAGGATATCATGTTTCATTCTGGGCAAATGGAGTGGGAATGGGGCTTCTCTAAGACTCGGTGGTTGCTCAGGGATCAATCCTTTTCCTCCTCTAGGAACATGAGTAACCACTTGGCACTTTTTCATGGATTGCAGGGTTTTGATTGTGCTTTAGGAGCAGCTGCTGCTTCCTTCGGCTGCGCTGCCTGCACTGCCGTGTGCTGCTGGCACAGGGCACGGGCTGCCTCTGACTCCTTCCCCTCTCTCTCCCAGCACATCTGCTTGGACTGTAAGAAGAACTTCTGCACGTCGTGCTCAAACCAGCCCGAGGGTGGGCCCCTGCTCTGCCACCTCTGCCAGCGCTTCCGAGCCACGGCCTTTCAGCGGGAGGAGCTGATCAAGATGAAGGTGAAGGATCTGCGAGATTACTTGGCCCTCCATGAGATTTCCACAGAATTCTGTCGTGAAAAGGAGGACCTGGTATTCCTGATCCTTGGCCAGCAGCCTGCAATTACCCAAGAAGATCAGATAAGAACAAACACATTTAATACCAGTGCTCATGAACAGCAGGACTTTGTGAGTCACCCCCCAACCAACCTGGCCTCTCCTACCTCACACGATGAGTCCTCAGTGTCTGCAGATCCCATCTCAAGTTCAGAAGCTCAGGAACACCAACAGGTACAATCTCTGGCCAGAACCATCTTTTGCAAACTCATTCACCTCTGTTTTTGGATTAACTACTAGGATGTTGCGTGTGGTTCTGCTGTGTAAAGTTGTGACTTGCTGTCACTAACTATGATGTGCTGTTCATTATGGAATTGAATTTGGCGGGCAGTGCTGAATATCTCAAGCATTCGCTCTCAGAACATCATCACTGTTCTGGGTTGTGTTTTCTCTGGTGCTCTGGTCCACACTTCCCTTGCCACAAGATGCTCCCGTGACTGTTCCTTTGGTACTTGCTGATGGCTTCTGGCACGTGTTTGTGGGTGTAATTAAATAGTTGATACTGTTCTTTAATTCCTGTGCCAAATAACAAGGACAGTCTAAAGCAGTTTTGGAGCTGGAGCTGATCAGAGGTGATGGGGGCTGGGTGAGGTTTTTGTTGTCTCCTGCACTCAGATCAATAGAAGACAAACCCTGAGTCTGTTGCCAAGTCTTGGTTTATGATGAACCTGCAGTTCTGATGAACCTCAGCAGGGGCATTTCAGTTTAATTATTTTTTATTGACCTTGCTTTGTTTGTCTTTCTGCTCTCTGCTAAGGAAAGTTTACTCAGTGTTTGACATCTGCTCCTTGTCCGGTTACAAAGTTAATGGGTGTATTCAGTTCCCTGTGGGCCAGAGCTGTGAAAATGTGTGTACCTTCTGCTTCCTCAGCAGATTTATTTAGTTCAAAAGAAGAGTTCTCCTGGGAGAATGTTTTTTACAAATCATTAAAAGGCATTTTCATTCCTTGGTTTTCTGGATATTGCCATTCCAGTTTTTACCAGCTCTGCTGTCTTCCCTCACTGCCCCGTGATACATTTCAGCTTCTTGTCTTGACTTGCATGACATGGTGCTGCAGTTCAGGCTCTTTGATCCTGATTGTTACTCTTGGGCTCTGTAAATATTAACAAGTCCCCACTTGGATAAGTGGGATGGTAACATTACAGTCTCTTTGTCAGTAGGAGCAGTGGCTGCTGGGGGTGAGTCAGCTGAAATTACACTGCTCATTTGATCAAGTGTTCAAAGCAACTGCCCAGCTTTTCTCCTCCAGCCCTGTCACTGCTGCACCCTAGCTCGTTGTCTCCTGTTTGCCCACTCCAGACCCTATCTGAGGAGGTGTTTGCTGGGTTCCTGTGAAGATCTGAGCTGTCAGAGGAGGGTTCTGCAGAGCCTTGCACTGAGAGCTCTGACATCACACACAGCACAGTGTGACCCTCAGGGAAGGACTGCACATATGCATTACAAATTTGGTGTATAAATTTGGTCTCATCCTGATCCAGTCTGAGGTTCTGTACTGGAGCTTTAAAGCTTCAGCTTCAGCAAGTGTTACTTTGTGTGAGTGCTGCACAGGGAAAACGCTCTGTGAGTGTGCCTGGCTTGTGCCTTGTCCTGCCTGTGTCCTTCCAGAGGTCAGGGGCTGCAGTGACACTGTCCTGGACTTGGTTTCCCTTCAGAAACCCACAAATGGTGAAAGCTTCATTTCCTCTTCCAGGCCAATGGTCATGTGCCTCCGACCCCAGCCTGTGGAACAGCAGCTGAGAATGCAGCAGAAGAAGCAGCAGCAGAGGATGAGATACAGGTTTGTGTCCTGGAAGTGGATGGCAGGGAATACCAGGTTTCCTGGGCTGGATTTGCTACCAGACATGAACAGTAACTGAGAATGACCAAACCAAATCAACCCCTTCTGTGGCATCATCTTGTCCTCCACATACAGAAAGAACTGGTGCCACTTGGGCACCATGGCAGAAATTATTAAGTTCTATCTCAAGATTTGTGTTTCTGGTAGATGAATTCAGAGCAGCCACTTCTCTGTACATCCAAACCTGAATTCCTGCTAACACATGCTGGAAGTTGATTGATATCACAGTTCCAGGCGTTGAGGGCATGAATAATTCCCTGTGTGCTCCCCCCCAGTCCAGTGACTCCGAGGATAACCTGGTGCTGGGCAGGAAGGCCTCCCTGTCTGACCTGACGAGCGTCGGGGACATCAACGCGCTCTCCGTGCGGCAGCTGAAGGAAATCCTCGCCCGCAACTTCGTCAACTACAAAGGCTGCTGTGAGAAGTGGGAGCTGCTGGAGAGGGTCACTCGCCTCTACAGAGAGAAGGACCTTCAACATCTAGGTGAGAGACTTGGCAAACAGGGGCCTGTTCCCCAGGTTTAGCCTTGTTACAGACAGCTGACAAGGAAATGGAACTTAGCTGACGTTTCTGGTGCAGCAGAGTGAGGAGGAGGGGGGAGTGTTTGTGCAGAGTGAAAGGAGCTGAGCTCTGCTCACCACTCCTTGTTGTTGTTTGAGAGAGTTGTGGGAGCCCTGCAGCAGCAGCACAAGGGCTGTGTATCCTTCACACTTGGTGTTGTGCATGCCCCCAGCAGATCCCACTGGGCACCGCCTCACCCTCACAGCAGCTGGTGGGTGGCTGTACACGACTGGATATGCTGAGCTCTTATCTCTTGGCTTGTGGTACCAGGCAAAGCCAGCAGGGAAATGCCCTGCCCAGGCAGGAAACTGCCACCAAAGAGCAGCTGGGAGATTCAGGGCATGTGCTCAGAGCAGTGGCTCCCAGGGCTGCCCAGCTGTGGGTAGCTGGGGTTTCACTCTCTTACCACCAGAGTGTTCCTGGACCTGCTCAGGTGGCTGTGAGGGGACACGGGTGTGTAGAGAATATATCTGGCTTGGTTTTCCAGGTGCCAGTTTGCACTTCGAGGGGATTTCTTAAAATAACCACATATTTGTAAATTACTTACAAGAGAAACTTACTTTAACGCTTTGATTTCATACGTTTGTTTCTCAGTGCTGTCCAAAGTAGTGTTGTTTTCTTAAACGCGTCTCTCTAGGTTTTGTCTTGTATGGATGATGCAAGATTTAAGACAGCAGTTTTGGGGTTACATTCTTTCATTACCTTGTGCTTTTGATGCAATGTATCCTTTTCTTTCACTCACTCTGTTCAATCACTTGGTGATTGTGTAACAGCAGAGGAGCTGGCACAAGGGGCTGCTGCAGGTGCAGCACTGGGAAACCAAACTCTGCACACATTCCAAGGCTGTCTTAAAAATTGAGACATCCCTTTGGATCCCTTATCTCTGGGAAGCTTTAACTGTTCTGTAAGCTCAGTATCGGAGAAAGTTCTTGTCAGTTGTTGAACCTGTCCTGATCAGAGCCCAGCCTGAACCTCCCATGGTGATCAGCACAAAGCAGTTTTGGTTTAGCAACTCCCTCAGGGTTTTCAGCCCCTGCCTGGTAACACTTCTCTCCCAGCTTTTCGGATTCTCACCAAATCTCTCTCTTTTTCTGTTGCAGTTTTGGACACTGACGATCAAACTGGTGAGTGAGATCCTTAATCATGGAGTTGTTTATTGGGAAAAACCGTCCCAAGGTCCAGTCCAGCCAGCACTGCCAAGGGCACCCCTAAACCATGTCCCCAGTGCCACATTTACATGGCTTTTACCTCCCCTCAGGGTTGTTTATGCCACCCACTGCCCTGAGCAGTCTGTTCCAGAGCTTGACAACCCTTTTGAAAATGGATATCAGGAAAAATTTCTATCTAAACCTCCCTGTCACAACTTGAGGTAATTTCCTCTTGTGTTATTACCTGGGAAGAGAGACCCCTGTTGCTTCACTTGCCTCATCTCAGTGGTATTTGTTTCCATCTCACAGAAATTACTGTGTAAAAACTAAAACTTCTGCTCCTTGCCAGCTGATGGAGCAGCCACAAGGGAAATTCCTTTGCACACCTTGTCCCTTAGGGAATCCCTTCAGCAGAGCCAACTGGGATTGCACAAACCTGCCACACCTCCCTTTGTCTGACCCCTCCGTGCTCTCCTGTCCCCTCAGGTGGTGCTGGGCCCCCCAGCACCGAGGACAACCTGTGCAGGATCTGCATGGATGCTGCCATCGACTGCGTGCTGCTGGAGTGCGGGCACATGGTGACGTGCACCAAGTGCGGGAAGCGCATGAGCGAGTGCCCCATCTGCCGCCAGTACGTGATCAGGGCCGTGCACGTCTTCAGGACATAGAGGTGGCTCTGGGCTCAGGGCTGCTGTGCCTTAAAGCCTCAGTGCTCTTAGGGAAAGGGCCAACATCCCTGCCAACAGCTACCTTGGAGATTAGCATGGACCCTGCTGCAAGAGAGGGAAAGAGGAAGCCTGGGGAAAGTGCTCTGCTCAAGCCATGCCCGACTCTGCTCATCCCACCATCGTGCTTTACACCACAGTGCCTGGACTCCTTGGAGCTCATTGCCAGCAGTCATTAACCACCTCCATCCTAGGATCATTTGAGGACAGATGGATGCCCAGCTTTCCACCAGGAAGATCAGCTCCAGAGGCTTTGTATTTCCCTCTGAATAATAAAAGTGAACTGGGGTCTCAAAAAGTGTCCTTTGTTTTGCTGCTCAGGCTCTGCCCAGCAACAACTTGATTTTCGAAGATTAAAATCTCACTGTGCTTGTTAATTTTACTTTTATTTTTAATTTAATGTAAAATTGTTATGCTTGCAGGACAGGCAGACCCTCCCTGCTTTCCCTAATTCCAGCCTAGTGCAATTGTGGAAAAATGTGTAATTTTGTATCAAGGTTGTCTTTGTATTATTGAAAACTTGGGGAGGGAGGCTGGGAAGGCTCAGCCTTGCCCTGTCTGCTGGGTTTTTGTTTCTGTGCCAGAGGGAGGTTTCTGGTTTGATTTTGTCGACTTTGACTTCACAGCATGTGCCAGGGGTGGGGCTCAAGCTGAACTGCCCCCACTTGCTGAGGGAGCTACAAATCCAGGGCTTGAGTCTTGCCCAGGCTTTAGTGAGGAAACCACAGAGCTGCAGAGTAGTGAGTGAGGACTGCATTGCTACACAATCATATTTAAGTACAGGTGACTTTTTCTTTTTTTAGAAGGGAATAATGGAAGAAAGCCTTTGTCTCCATTGGATCCATGAGCAATCTCCACTGCAGATCAGCTTCCCCCATCCTCCCCAGGGCTCAGTTTTACAGTTCTGTTACCTTGCACTGCTTACCAAAAGCAGTTTTGTCCTTTCTGCTGGTGAGGGTGGGGAGAGAGGTTGTGGCCTGATCCCTGACAGCTCTCCTGGGCAGTGTGCTCCCTGGAAGAGATGTGCTAGAGGAGTCTGGCAGTTCTTGCTGGAGGTGCTTGTAACTGGTGTATTTTCCCCTCGGTGTCCATCAGCATGGCACTGTGCCCTCACTGCAGGGCAGCCGAGGCTGTCCTGGCTGCTCTGCAGGGGACAGGGGCTGGCTCTGTGTGCCAGCCTGGCTGCCAGCAGAGAACAGCACAAACCCCGAGGGGCGCTGCAGTGACTGCCCTCAGCTCCCGGGGCACTGAAGTGCAGCTGCAGGGACAGCAGCAGAGCTCCTGCGCAGTGGCAGTGATGGCAGCAGTGCGTTCACCTGGTGTGCTCTGCACAGGGACAGTTCCAGCAGCAGCTCAGCTGCAGCGAGTGCAGGGTCTTTGCTCTGGGAGCTGCAGCCAAAAGAGCACCTGGGATGAGAAAGCCATGGCTCAGGAGGCAGCAGGAGAGAGCCAGGGATTTCTCACTGAGGTGATCTCAGAATTCCACAAAACTGCAGCAGCTGCTGCACTGACTAAACTCAGCATTCTGAGTCCTACCTCTGTCCCAGGTCAGGCTGTTCTTTAATCTTAAGGTTTAACAGATCCAGCAGGGGAACAAAGTGAACAAGTCAGGGCATCCTGACAGAGAAAAGGGCAGGTGAGAAGCGATTCTGTTTGCTCTGGAGAGAGCAGTGGGACCTCGAAGAGCTGCAGGAATACACAATGTGCTGAACAGCCTCATTTAGGAAATCCACTGTGAAAATTCATGTTATATTTTTCAGTAAACTCAGGGCTGGGGGAATTTAGCAGGAAGAAGATGATTCCCCTATGGATAGATGTACTTTCCTTGTAGAGGGTAGGCTTATTTTCTACAGCAGTTAAATCAAGCTGCAGATCAATGCCTGAAATTTTAGGGATGAGAAGATCCACCCACCCTGAACTCCAAAATGTGCTTTGTGAAGGGAGGACTCTTCTTGTTTCCCTTGTAAAAATGGATTCTCTACTTATGGATAGGAGTGAGTTATTTTTAAAGGAAAATCAAAACCTGGAGGAAACTGATTAATGATCCAAAGGAATATAATGTTCTGAACTAATAAAGTAAATGGAAATATTTATGTGCTTTATGTACACTGTACATTGTTTAAAGATGTTAAAACTTAATATTCTACTTGAAAGGGCATGTTATTCACTATTAAATCCTCTGGTACTATGACAGTTCAACTTACTAGTTTTGGTACAAAAGTTTGGTTTATAATTTTATAATAAAGTTGAATTGTGATTTAGTTAACTTTGTTTCTGAATCTGTTACAAGCAGAGATCCTACAGCTACTGCTGAACCTCAGCCAGAAATTGGGATCCCAGCTGCTGAAATGCTGTCAGTGGGAGGGGGACAGAAGAGGTGGAGGGGAAAAAAATTACCTGACACAGAAATGACCTTGGCACCACAGCCAAGAGTCCCATGGAGCTGCTGCTGTTCTCCTGAACAGGAAGAGAAGAACCTTTGGAAAATAAGTCCTGACAGCAAAGGAGAAGCTGCTTCAGTTTTATTTATCTATAAAAATACCCAAACTTTAAAAACCCAAGGAGACTAAACCAGCACCTGGATAAGGATGGTGGTCTACAGTGTGGGCAGAAAAACGGGATTCAGCAGTGACATTTCGTCAGAGACCTTTTTAAATTCATTCCATAGGGCTGCTCTGGATCTCTGTAGCTACTTCTGAGGGCACTTCCAGTCTATCCACACCTCCATGGAGGGATCTCCCTTCCCTCCACCTCCCAGTTCCCAGCTGGTCTGTGCAGCACCGCCCCGTGCTAGCACGGCGCCACCAGCCTGCGCTTCCGGATGCACTCCCAGATCCAGCGGGGAGTCACCCGCTGCGCCCCGGGGTTGTCATCAATGTCCCCAATCACGTGCGTGGCCGAGGCCGTGTCGAACTCTGCCACCAGGTCCCCGTCGAAGGCGATGAAGTAGCGGCGGATCCGCTCAAAGTCCTTCACGGAGGGCGCCAGGTAGAGCCTCACCCCCGTGAAAATGTCCAGCAGTGGCTGCTGAGGGGGGAAGGAGAAACAGAGCTTGGGCAAAGCATTCCTTGGAATGGAGGTGAACAGACTCTCCGTGGAATGGAAGTGAACAGGCATTCCTTGGAATGGAGGTGAACAGGCCACAGCTGCCCCAGCCTCCCCCACCCTGCTGTGGCCACTGTCCTGCCCCCCTGACTGTACCTTCTTCCCGTTGTCCTCCATCTCTGATGCTTTTCTCTTCTCCCCTCGTTTCTCCTCGGATTTTTGAGGGGATCCAGTGACTCCTTTGCTGTCTAAAAACAAAAATTTGACTCATGCATGTGCTCTGTCCAGATACTGGCTGTGTATTAGTTGGGGGAAAGAGTAACGAGCAGAAGGGAAAAGTGTCCTCCCCTCTTTCTGGAAAATCCATGAACTACTCTCGCTAGTGAGACACATTTTTCTATTGGAAATGGTGTGGGGCAGCCTCCTGCCCCATTCCCAGGCTGCTGCTGCCACCTGCCCTCCATGCTGTCACCACTCTGTCCTCTGTGAAACTGCTCAGCAATCTGCTTCACGTTCCAGCTCAATTCACCTGGGAATCACCTCCAGCCACATGTCCCTTTATACACGTGAATTCCATCCAAATCAAATTAAACACTGGCTCATGGCCAACAATGTCACACCAAAGGGCTCTGACCTGCAGAAATGGGAGCAGTGAACACCAATCTGAACAGCATCATCAGAGCTGTTTCCATCCCTCTTTCCATCCCTTTTCCCAGGACATCTCAGAGCTGTGCCTACTCAATTCATACAGGGCCAAACCAAGGATCTGAACAGCTCTGCCCATTATCCCTGAGATCCACATGAAAGGTGGCATCATCAAGCCTCTCACAGAAAGCAAGGGCCCAGAGCCAGCCTGTCCCAAGCACAGAGGACACAGCCCCAGGCTCCTTCCTGAAAGCACCATCATCTTACCTTCTGCCTTCTGGGCTTTTGCAGGTGACTTGCTTGGGGGGCTCATAATACTGCTGTGAGGTGTGGAAGATCTGGAATTCCCATCATTCTCTCCACTGCTGCCAGCTGTGGACTCATCTTCCTCCCCAGCTGTAACACTGAAATCAGCCTTCTCCTTGGAGAGCTGGTACAGCTCCTGCCCAGAGAAACAGCACTGATCATGTCTGACACTGGACACGAGCTGTGATGCACAGACTGCTCTGGTGTTCTCCCCCCTGAAGTGTTTGCTCAAAAGCCTTTTCTTCCTGCACCCCTCTGCACCTCTGTCCCAGCTCCCTGCATTCCACCCCTCTCCTGCATTAAGGGAAGCCACAGAGGGAGGAGCAAAAAAGCCACATCCACATCTCCTACAGAGCAAGAGCCTGAAGGATGAGCAGTGCCCAGTGCTCACTGTGGGAAGGGCCCATCTGCAAAGGGATTTGTTCCTCTCTCCTCCCCACGGGGATCCTGGCAGGCCCTGAGGGCTGCATCACTCCTGCTTTCCATGGCACTGCAGCCCTGGCAGCTGCTGCCAGCCCCAAACTGCAGCAGCTCCCCTGAGCACAGAGCTCCCCCAAGGCTGGCACTGGGGTGGCTGCAGCCTGGGGGTTCTGGCCAGTGCCACTTGGCCCCTGTGCCCCAGGATACCCATGGGCACTTCCCAAATGCCTCTCCCAGTCTCAGCAAGTGGTGGGAAACTGAGTGAGCATGGAGAGAGGAAAGGTCTGCCCAAGGAGGTGGTGGAATCACCGTCCTTGGATGTGTTTAAAAAAAGCCTGGACGTGGCACTCAGTGCCATGGTTTAGTTGCTGAGGTGCTGTTAGGTCATAGGTTGGGCTTGGTGATCTCAAAAGGCCTTTTCCAACAGAGTTCATTCTGTGATCACCTCTGAGGAAGGCAATTCCTCACTCTGCCACAAGAGCTGATGGAACCAACTGCCCACAGAGACCTCTCTGACAAGGCACAGCAACACAACAGCTCCAGGGCCCTGAGAGGCCTCCAGCAGAACAGCCCAGCCCGAGTCTGGCACAAAGGGAAAACGGAAGGTGCCACGAAGGCAGCAGGTGCCTTCAGCGCATGCTGTGACCAGTCTGAAGCTGCAGGGCCCCGTGCTGACCCACCTTGAGCTGCTGCAGGTTGGTGGCTGTCTGCCAGTCCTTGTCGTCGCGGATGCGGGTGCAGCGCGGGAAGCGGATGGAGATCCCGTCCGCAGTGTGCGCCTCGGCCTTGGAGAACTCGGCCCCCGTGATCTCCCACACCGGGGCTTTCTAAACACAGCGAGGAAGCCACGTCACACCCCTGGGCTCCCTCAGGAGCCAGCTCAGAGTGTCCCACCCCCACTCACCCTCCACCCCAGCACAGCTCCATAAACACAAAGTGACCTTGCTGTCACCTTCGTTGTTAAAACCGGCTTTTTCTCTAAGCCAGAGACCCTTCACTGTTGCCACATTCTCTTCATAGAGAAAAGCAAGGCACAATTCTTCCCAAGAATATTTCTGGGTTCCACACCCTCTGAACCTCAGAGAAAGGGAAAACACAATTCTTATCACTTGCTGTGCCTGTGTTGTGCCAAAGTGAATGCAATATGGAGATTGTTTATCCAGAGGGAGGATGTTTTGTTTCCTTGGCCTATTCGGGCTGAGTGTGTGTGTGTGTGTCAGGACTGTCACGAGACAGACACGAGAGAATCAGAGTTGAGTGCAGTTCTGTGCAGTTGTGAGCAAGAGTGCATGGCAGATTCAGTTTAGATGAGATGTATTTAGTATGGTATAATAAAGTAATTAATTAGCCTTCTGAAAAGTTGGAGTCAGATGCACCATTCTTTCTCCCTCACCAACATCAGAGTTGCCTTTGTTTTACAATAGTTCACTAACACAAAATTCTATTTCTAAATAACACCTTCTCCTTCAGGCATACAGAGCATACTGACACAATCCCTACAACAACAACAACTTTTGGGTTGCAGTTGTGTTTCAACCCTTTAAACTCAGATTTCTCATATCTCAAATTTAAAGCAAGCTCACTTCTGGAAGGGATTTAATGCACAAGAATATTTCCCAAAACTGCTGCAGGTGTGATTTCTTCATGAAGCTCTTAGCCTCAAATGCACCTGCAAGATTGAGAGATAAAAACTTGTGCTTAATTTCCCATTCCAATTATGAAGATTTATTTTGTAACAGAGACAACTTCTAAGTCGTCCTTAAAGATTTATAGAAGATTGCAGAATAAGGGCTGGGAAATGTGAAATGATTATGAGAGCACTTACCTTTGGATCTGGGACAATGAAATCTGGGTAGTAGATTTTGTTAATTTTTAGCCACCTTGGAATTTTACTAGGATCCTATTAATTAAAAGCACAAAATTAAAATCATTGACACATATCACTACATATAAACCTAATTAAACAACAGAAACTGCTGAAACACAACCTAGAAGTAGATCAGCATAGAGGTATAACAATGCCTTGGCATGAATGGAACTTGCACTGATCTGCAGCCTCATCTGGAAAATCACAAATATTGCCTGAAACACAGCCCTCAGTTCCTGTCATTCTGTGTGTGAAACAAGAACAGTTAATCCAATTGTGATTCATGGAAAGCTACTCCTTTTCTTTAGGGTTCTACAACCTTGATGCAAACGGCCTTCAGGATGTCAAGGGAATATTAAAATTTAGGTGTTTATTTGTCCAGTCTTGAAAAGCAAGATAAATCACTGACAGAAATCTTAACTCCAGCCCCAGGTTATGGAGCCACCAGACCAGAACCTGACCAATCACTTCTCTCCCACAGCCCCATCTAGTGACTGCCTTTGCCAATCACAACGTGCCCAAAAATCCAGATAAAAAATTGGGATCTTCCCAACAAAACCTTGTCCTAGCAGGAAACAGATGGTGCCTGGCTTCCCACTCAGTGTCTGGGTACAGATCCCAGGCAGTGCCTCCTCCAGGAGCAGGCTGCTCTGACACCTCACTTGTGTCAAGTGGTTGATGAGCTTTAACTCTGATTCATTCCTGGCAGGGCATTTCCACCCTGCAGTGCAGCAGCACCTCAAGGGCAGCTGAGCCCTTGGCTGAGCATCCCTTGGCTCCCCCTCTCACCTTGCTGATCTTCACCATGTCCAGCTCTGTCTGCAGACGTGCCAGGGTGGCGTCATCGTGGCCACCAGAGCACTTGGTCACCGTGCACCACTTCTCAGTCTTGGGGTCGTAGCAGCCCATGAGGAAGATGGACATCATCCCACCTGCACAGGGACAGCAGGGCTCACACCTTGCACAGGACAAGCCACAGCTCTTCTGAGTCAAAACTGTTTTGTGTCTTTGGGAGTCCAA